GAGCTCTTTTGGAAGTTGGTGCCAAGACCAGTCACCTTGTTGTACCCCTTTAAAATAGTCGCGATGTTATCAATATCCCTCTTGATAGGAGCTATGAACATAGTTGCTTTGTTCGCATATAGGGAGGTTCTCACCCTAGCACCTCTCCCATGAATCTTGTGAAGGAGACCCTTCGGAGTTGCTAGTTCCAGCAATGACGAACATGAGAGGCGAAAGTTTATCGCCTTGGCAAAGCCCCCTACTATGCACCATGGGATGGCCAAGCACACCATTCAAGAGGATCCACGATGAAGATGTGCGGAAAAGCACGATGATCCAATTCCGAACCTTGGTCGGGAAGCCTTTCCTTTGTAGAAGATCAAGGATGTACTCTCACTTAACCGAATCAAAGGCCTTGCGAATGTCAAGCTTGAAGAGTACGGTGGGGGTCCCGCACTTGTGCAACCAGTGGGCAAAGTTCGGACGTACATAAAGTTATCGTGAATCCTTCCCCTCTTGATGAATGCACTTTGCGCGTTGGAGACCAGGGCATCCATGCGGGGGCCAAGGCTGATGGATAGCACCTTTGCAATAATATCGATAGCATAGACGAGACTAATGGTTTTGTAGTTGGAGATGCCCTCCGCACCCTCTTTGGGCAAAAGCACCACATTTGCGGAGTTGAGCCAATGGAAATTTGCCGAATGTAGGGACTCAAAGATGTGTATGACCCTCATAATGCATCTTTGATGGTGTCCCTTCTTGACGAAGATGCCCGTGAAGTCATCTGGTCTGCGTATGCCTGTGAAGCCATCCATGCATGAGCTCGCCACCTCATGGGTGGTGTTGTCATACAACGACGACGGGGGCCCATACGACATTAAGCCGCGGTCGCCGGTAGTCACTGCTGCAAGGAGTTGCCTGCAAGGTTGACCAAGCTGCCGTTCACGGCCGCGTCACCCGAGAAATTGAGGTATTTTGGGTCGCATGAGGATGAGTTGGCGAAGTTGAAGCTAAAGGAGATGGGTGGCGGCGTTGCAGCGGCGACATGTCAAGGAGCATCGAGCAGCGAGGAGGAGGAAGCAGCCGGCGTAGAGGATGATGATGGGAAGAAGCTGCTACTGGGGCGCTCCATTGCTTGCAGGAAACATGGCTTTGTCTGTCTAGCTATCGCTGAGGTGTTGTGAGCTCAGGAGTGTGAACTTGTGGCATATATATTGTATATATAAAAAAATACACGACTAAATTACCTTTGGATTAATCATTTGGGTACATGTATCTCATCCGAGTCATGTCTGAATTTAAGTAGGTGGCAAGAATCTTCCTGCCTGTTAGTGAAGGCATTCATGCACTACTGCCATCCTTGTGCTAGCTTTCCAAGTTGTTTTATTCTGAGCCTCCACTTAATTGTACCAGTTGCTAACTTTGCTATATAATAGTTTGAAAGATGGAAACCAGGGTGCAAGTCTGTGGGCTGTGGGCCGGGCACACGACCACCAGCTGCTATTTCTTGTGGACTGCTTTAGTAGCCGCATGTTCCCGATATGAACTTTATGTAATATCAGGTAATTAACAGGACCTTGGCCTTCAATTATTTTATGCAAATTTGGTTGCCCTCTGATCTTGACTGAAGTTTCCTCAGGGTGGTTGTGATGACATTGACGTTGACGGGCGAGTTTGCGTAGTTCCCACCATTAGGGCTCCGTTGGTTCACAAGATAGGAAAAATGTGCAAAATGTAGGAATATGACAGAATGTATGTGTAGAACAGAGGATTGAACAATATAAGAACTCTATATTTGGCCTTCGTTGAGGAGCCTGTCATGCAGCAGTGTAGGTTTCATAGGCATTGGAAGAGTACTTTTCCTGCCTGTTGTCGCCAAAGGAATCTGTGAAAGTTCCTATCTGTATATTTGTTTCCACCTGACACGGCTGAGAACAGAAAAACGGAAGCAAAAAAACTGCCCCGGTTAGCTATGATGTTTTTTAACAAGTATACATGTAGAAATCAAGATAATTTAGCTATATTTTTCTTTTGTTAAAATAGCTATACAGTAGTTTTTGGTGCTATTTCTGTCATAGCACTTGCCTGAAATCTTTGGTGTATTTGCAAGCATCAGCGGTGACTATAACATGGAAGAAACTTAGGCACCATTCATCATTCCGTTTGTAAAATAAATGCACCTAGAAATTTGTTGTAAAAAAACGATTTGGAACTTTTTTTTTTGCTATGCATGATTCAGAGCTTGTCAGCTTAGAGCTTGATAATGCGATATCATCAAATCATCCAACAGATAATGGAAACTATTTCGGTGGCGGTAATGGCCTCCAGTAGTTTTCTATGGAACCATACCATTCTGTAAACCGAGAATGCTTATAAGCTAGATATTCAAATTACAGTCCTATGAATAGTTTTTGTTGGCTGGGAACAGTTTTCATGTTTTCCACGCAAGAGTCCTAGTTTTATCTTCATGCTATATGTAAGCTACACCTTGGTCGAATTGGTTTCAACAGTGGAAATATTAGCATTTTTTTATGGTAGGAGATTGGTTTCAAAGGATGGCAATTGACTCTTTTCCACGAACACTAACAACGGGAAGATCTTCCTATGTATCTTAGCAGCGACTGTTAATCCCTATGCTTTTGCTGAAGGTACTAGACTGGATGTTGATAACATTTGCTTTTGAAACATTCATACGGTGAGCCACAGAGGGTAGGTCTGCTCACTTATGACATTGTCATAAACAAAATCCCATCAAAACCCATGGACTAACTCACCGAGCTTCTAGTTATAGCTTTGTGGTAATCCCCAAGAGTGTACTGCTATTCTCTGGATCATCTTTGCTTGAACCCTTCACTTTTGTGTCTGTTGTACCTTGTCAATACTTGATTCCATCCTGGTTCGCTTCCAGTCACAGGGTGAAACTTCAGGTGACAAGGCTGGCGAATCATCAAGGTGCGAGATACATCATGCGCTCAAGTTTTGTGTGCCAAGTGGTTCCCAGGACCAAATCCTCACTCTGTTCAAATATCGGCATGACGAGGACCACGGGAACATCCTCTGCTGCAAAAGTTTGACGAATCGATCTTGTGCCCCACGTTTCAGTCACTGCCTCCATGAGCACGGCAACTCGCCAACTTCAGTAGGGAGATTGGCACTGGCATGACTACTTGACTGTCGGGTAACACCCTCCAGGCAACCATGGACCAGACCAGGTACGAATCTGAGTTCTATCTCCTTCAGAAGTTGCACACCTTTCAGAATACTCCGCTGCACTCCACGGCGCTCAACATGAAGGATATTTGAGACTTATGTTTATGTATAGGTTTTTTTTTTATACTTCCATGTTGGGATTGGTCCGGCATCACCCCCAACAGTGCACACCCACTCTTTATGACTAAAAACAATTCTGGGTGCTTGTAGTGCAACAAAAGTACGCTCTACTTACGAAATAGAACCATTTATTTGTCTAAGAAACATGTTGATTTTGCAACTACGAGATCTCCACTTGTTTGGTTTCATTTTACATTCTGTCAGTATATGTGCTACATATACATCACTAATTCACTTTCTCCCGCACCCGTAGGCTGCAGTTAATATGCAATTGCAAATGCCCTGATTTCTTGCTGGGAGTATTTGCCAGATACATAATGTAACAAATACTCCAATCTTCTAATTGCCGCCATTTCAGCCAAGGAATGACCATCCTTTAAACAGAAGAGAAGAGAAGAAAGGAATGACCATCCTTTAAACAGACTGTAAAACAATGTAATCTTGTAGAAATTCGACCCCCCAAACTAACCCATTGGAGATTACTCCATTTCTTTACGTGGTGCATAATTTTAAAGTGTGCTCTAAATTGTACTACATCATACCAATGACCCGACCTGGGTAAAACACTAACTAAAAAATAAGCAGCATATTCTACCTTCTTTTGTTGTTGAGAAAACGCAAAAGCTTTATTTTTCATTCCATTGAGAAGGTAGAAGAGACACAGTACACACACCCAAACGGGCAGGGAAGAACGTTACACAGCGCAACAAATTATTATGTAACTACATTTGTGCCAACATTACAAACTACTACGAGACATGGTATACCGGCAGAAAGCTTCAAAATTACTAGCAAACAGGATTCTTTTAGCATCTATGCCATTTGGCTAGTGACCTCAGTCGTAGAACTGAACAATTTGGCTAGCAACAGAAATAACCTGAAAAAGAAAAAAAAATCTATTAGGATGGCAAACTTCACCCACAATGATGTTTGAGAATCAATTAGTATAACCAAAAAGAAATAGCATTGCATAACATTGAAAAGAGATTGATGAGCAAGGGCACAATTCAAAACCTCGTTTATGTCATGGTTTGATATGATATAACTGAAAAGATGGGCACAAAATGTTGAACAAAATAAAAGGCGCATTGGATCTTGTTTTCCGATACATAAAAATGCCAGCTCCAAATTATGAGGCACCCGCCGTGGTTATCACAAGTATCCATCAAAAGAAAAAATAGCTGATTAAATGAAGAACATGCCGGTAGCCAACAGCATTCCACTAGATAATAGCTTCAGCGTGCAATTATGTCAAGATCCACCACCAAACTATGCCCCTCTTAATTTGTCATTGCTGCCAATAAGTGGAACATGACAATGTGATGGTTCTTCTCGAGGACACCAGGCACAATAAAAAAATGTAGCAGACATGAGACGACTTTAGTGTTTTGATCTCTATGCTTCTGGCAGATCTCAAGGCACAGCAGACAGCATCTGGGAGATCTAATGGCATGATTCTTCATGTCTACCACTCAGATGCTACAATACAGCTGTAAACATACCTTCTGTATAAATAGGCGTCACCAGAATGGTAGAAACATAAGCTATAAGCTCTTCTTTTCTGCTCCTCTCCTCGACCACAAAATAGAGAAAAGCTTCAAGATCAGACATGGCTTTTCACGTTCCACCTAAGATCGATAAGTTTGCCTTCTAGGCCTCACCCCACCGAGACCGAGATTGAAGAACAGATGTTGAGCCTAGAGGCAAGCATCTGTTCCTCCACGACCATCGGCATGGTGTGCGAGGGTCTGAGGAGGCTTGGAAACATCTATAATGGCGTCGAAGAGATCATCTGCCTTCCAAGCAGCCAAGTCTGTGCCTACCAGCAGAGGACGGTGTTGGATGGAGAAATGGACGGTTCTCTTGAGCTGCTAGATCTATGTGGCACCATGCAAGAGATCTTCGCCGAGATGAAGGCCATCATCCAAGAGCTGCAACTGTCTCTAAGGAAAGGGGATGATGCGACTGCTCAAGCCAGTATCCAATCTTACACCCGCTTGGCGAAGAAGGCCAAGAATCATTTCAAGAAGACCACGAAGAAGATTTCGGCAGATTGCGGGATGGTCATGCTCTTGGCCAAGGCCAGAGAGATCTCTGTCTCTCTGCTGGAGTCCACACTCCATCTCTTGTCGAAGCAAATTGAAATGCCTAAACAGTCTCTTGTTTCCAAGGCATTTCACAAAAAGAAGTCAGTTGTTTGCAAGGAGGAGCAATTGTTGGGGTTAGAGTGCAGTATCGGAGATCTTGAGAGCGGAGCAGGACATCTGTTCAGGAAATTAGTCCAGAGCAGAGTTTCTCTACTCAACATCCTTAGCTCATAGATACTTCCAGGACACTCTTGACACCCTTCGATTGGCATCCGCCTTTTAAGGAATAGCTGATCTTCATACAATTTTCCCCTATGTATATATACACTATACAGTAGAAATGTACATGATACTATAGCAAGAGAAACAAAAGTTTTGATCCATTTGACCATTTCATACTTGAAGATGTGCTTGTGATCCCAGTATACTTAATTTTGATAACCTTGGTTAGTGGATCTTGTCCCTTATGCATGAAACAAGCCAGATCAAAGTCACACGGTCCCAACTTGTAGTAGTTTGCAGAATCAATCAGTTTTATTATTCAGATTCTCCAGTGCCACCACCACATGGTTGTGCAGTCTGGCACTACAATTAATTATATTTCTGGTTTCATACAACAAAGTCCAAATTTGTGCTCAAATTTTAAAATTGTCGACATCTATATCATCTAAGCATTTAAGGCAAAATAATAACAAAAAACATTTACTCTACAGAATTAACAATAATCTGAGCAAGACCTAATCCAAACTTGCCAGTGTGCAAAGTCTTTGTTCTTTTCCGTATATTAATTCCCAGAACACAAAGAACAACCAATGCTTTATATGTTTATTCCAAACTTCACCAAAAATAAGGTTGTACGAAAACATCAGAAAAAATAGGGTGGACACGGCACACAACAAAAACTCATTTCTTGCCAGATATGAAATTGTGGGTAACACGCTGACCCACTAACATGGATCTTGTTTCCATGGCCTAAACATGCCAGCTCCGATCAGCGAAGCTTTAACTTGTGATTCGCAAGGGTGCCCACCAAAGAAAACACCTGATTAAATACAGGCATTCCACAGCAAAATGCTAGGTTAGCAATCCATTAAATAATGGCTTTGGTAAGCAATTATGCCAAGATCCACCATCAGACTAAACTGGACTGCTGGTTCTTGTTGCCAATTGCTGGAACATAATAATGTGATAGCCCATCTTAGGGACAGTAGACACATAAAACAATGTACTAAACATGAGACGACTTTAGGATTCCAATCTCTATGCTTGTGCTTAAAAAATCTCAAGGCATAGCAGACAGCATGTGGGAGATGTAATTGCATGATTCTTTGTGTCTACCAATCAAATGCTACTGCTTCTACATTTCTGTATAAATAGGCCTCAGCAGAGCGGTAGACGCATCAAACAAATAAGTGTTCCTTTCTTCAACTCTTCATCAACCACAGTATATACTGAGAAAAGCTTCAAGCTCAGATATGGCTTTCCACCAAAGATCCATAAGTTTGCCTTCTAGGCCTCATGTCAGTGAGACCCAAGTTGAGCAAGAGCTCCACAGCCTAGAAGCAAGCATCTCTTCCTCCAATTCCATCAGCATGATGTGCGATGGTCTCAGGAGTCTTGCAAGCATCTATGATGGTCTTGAAGAGATTGTTTGCCTACCAAGCCACCAAGTTTTCTCCTCCCAGCAGAGGAACATGTTGGATGGAGAAATGGAAGGTTCTCTAGAGCTGCTAGATCTCTGTAGCTCCATGCAAGATATCTTCGTCGAGATGAAGGCCATCATCCAAGAGCTGCAAGTGGCTCTAAGGAAAGGGTATGATGCAGCTGCTCAAGCCAGTATCCAATCTTACACCCGCTTGACGAAGAAGGCCAAGAATCATTTCAAGAAGAACACGAAGAAGACTCCTGCAGATTCCAGGATGTTCATGCTATTAACCAAGGGCAGAGAGATCTCCGCCTCTCTGCTGGAGGCCACAATCCATCTCTTGTCAAAGCAAATTGAGATGCCTAAACAATCTCTTGTTTTCAAGGCATTTCACAAAAAGAAGGTACTTGTTTGCAAGGAGGAGCAATTGACGGGGTTAGAGTGCAGTATCGGAGATCTTGAGAGCGGAGTAGGACATCTGTTCAGGAAATTAGTCCAGAGCAGAGTTTCTCTACTCAACATCCTTAGCTCATAGATAGTCCCAAGTCACTCTTGACGACCTCCGATTGGCATCCGCCTTTTAAGGAATAGCTGATCTTCATACAATTTTCCCATGTGTATACACTATACAGTATAAATGTACATGATACTATAGAAATAGAAACAGAAACCAAAGTTTTGATCCATTGACCATTTCATCCTTGAAGATGTGTTTGTGATCCCAGTATAGTTTATTTTTATGCCCATGGTTAGTGGATCTTGTTCCTTATGTATGGAACATGCCAGATCAAAGTCACAAGGTCCCAACCTGTATTTAACAGAATCACTCCAACCTGTATTTAACAGAATCATTCAATTTTATTATCCAGATTCTCCATCACTACCACATGGCTGTGCAGTCTGGCACTAAAATTGAATATTTTTCTTGTTTCATACAACAGATTCCAAATTAGTGCGCTCAAATTTAACATTTTTGACATCTATATCATTCAAGCATTGGAGGCGACAAAATAACAAACACATTTACTTTAATACCACAACTTTTTGCATGCTCTACGTATTAACAATAATCCGAGCGAGACCTGATCTAAACTTGCCAGTGCACAAACTTTTTGTTCGTTTCAATAAAATGATACTCAATACACAAACAACAATCGATGCTTTACATGCTTATTTCAAACTTCACCAAAAGAAAAAAGATGCTGATTTCGGAGTAGTAGTATGTTTAAAGAGGTAATAAGATTGTACAGAAACATTGCAAAAAATTAGGGTGGCCATGGGCACACATCAAAAATCTTATTTCAGTAATGGTTAGATACGAAATGGTCATGCTACTCACATGGTTGGTGGCTGGAAGCCTCAATCTGAAAAATTGGGGATAATATGCTGAACCCCTAACATGGATCTTGCTACCATGGCCTAAACATGCCAGCTCTGACCTCGAGGCTTTGACCTGTGATTTGCAAATGTGCCCACCAAGGAAAACATGTTATTAAATACAGGTACGCCACAGCTTAATGCTAGGTTAGCAACCCATAAAATAATGGCCTGAGCATGCAAGAAAGATCCACCATCAGACTAAACTGTGGTGCTGGTTCTTGCTGCCAATTGTTTGGACAGTAGCACAAAACAATGTACTAAACATGAAACGACTTTAGTGTTGCGATCTCTATGCGTCTGGCAGATCTCAAGGCATAGCAGACAGCATCTGGGAGATGTAATGGTGTGATTCTTCATGTCTACCAATCAACTGCTACTGCTTGTATATTTATGTATAAATAGGCCTGAGAAGAGCAGTAGACACATCAAACCAGAAGTGTTCTTTTCTGCTCCTCCTCTCTTCAACCACAATACAGAGAAAAGCTTCAAGCTCAGCTATGGCTTTCCACCAAAGATCGACAAGTTTGCCTTCTAGGCCTCACATCAGTGAGACCCAAGTTGAGCAAGAACTCCAGAGCCTAGAAGCAAGCATCTCTTCCTCCAGTTCCATCAGCATGATGTGCAATGGTCTCAGGAGTCTTGCAAACATCTATGATGGTCTTGAAGAGATTATTTGTCTACCAAGCCACCAAGTTTGCTCCTCCCAGCAGAGGAGCATGGTGGATGGAGAGATGGGCTGCTCCGTTGAGCTCTTAGATCTCTGCAGCACCATGCAAGAGACCTTCGCCGAGATGGTGGTCATCATCCAAGAGCTGCAACTGGCTCTAAGAAAAGGAGATGATGCGGCTGCTCAAGCCAAGATCCAGTCTTTTACTCGCTTGACGAAGAAGGCCAGGAAACACTTCAAGAAGACTGCCAAGAAGGCTGCATCGGACAAGATGGTCATGCTATTGACCAACGCAAGAGAGATCTGCATCTCTCTGCTGGAGTCCACACTCCATCTCTTGTCGAAGCAAATTGAAATGCCAAAGCAGTCTCTTGTCTGCAAGGCATTTTACAAGAAGAAGACCGTTGTTTACGAGGAGGGACATTTGCAGGAGTTAGAGTGCAGCATCGGAGATCTTCAGGATGGAGCAGGAATTCTGTTCAGGAAATTAATCCAGAATAGAGTTTCTCTCTTAAACATTCTTAGCTCATAAATACTCCACATCACTCTACTCCCTGCGATTGGCATCCGCCTTTTTGAGGATGAGCCGATCTTGATACAGTTTTCCCATGTGTATAGTATACAGTACAAATGTACAGAAATTATAGAAACAAAGACAAGTTTTGATCCATATCAGATTTTGCGATACTGATAATAATCTCTTGGGGCTTTGTGATGAATATATGCATGACAAATGGCAATGTGTATGATGTCAATCCATCATGTATCTGTTAGGTTCTGTTAATTGGGTTTGTGTTACAGGTTACAGTTTTGTGGTAAATGATAACAACAATGATGTTAGACCTACCATAAAACTATTAGGTTATGGGCTGCATTACACCTACCATAAGGTTCATGATTAACCTTATTTTTTGGATCTCACTTATCATGCATGGGACACGCCAGCTCGAAGCCACATGGTTGATGGTTGTACTTGCACATAAATCAACTAGCCAGATTCACTTCATAGTTGCAAATGCTGCCTTCATATGCCCAATTAATATTTAGGCATATATCTACACATTTATTCAGATGATAAAGCTTGCATTTCTGATAAAATAATAAAACTAGTGATGATGGGTAGGTCAAGTGGAAAAACGGAATCTAAATGTTCTTAATAACGAACGATAATCCACATTCGCAAATGCAAAAAAATAGTATGATGGTATATTCAGCATAACTTTGTTTGGTGTTTAATGGGAGATAAATATTGGATTGATCGTTATAGGTTTCTGAGATGGCATGTCTTACTTTTAGCACATTAACACCAAAAAATATCTCCTGTAATATGAAATATTTTGCCTCATCAAAGCTTTTGTCCATTGAGTCCTTACACCAGCAAGAGAGCAGGGATAGGATGAAGTCAATGACTCTTTACACCAGCAAGCACCAACCACCCTGGAGGTGCAGATGAGTTTACCACTAACAATTAAGACGCGGGTGTAGCATGCCAGCGGCAAAGCATGAAGAAGACTAGTCATCATGTAACACTGATGCACATGC